ATATATAAATGTGGTGGTGGCCATCTTGGATTTTGACATGGTAACTTTGACAGTGACCCTAGATGCACCTCACAACAAAATGGAAGTTGGCATGTTGCTTATTTGTCAAATTATACAGTTCACAAGACAAGTGAACACATATGGTGGCAGCCATCTTGAATTTTGATGCAGCAACCCAATTGTCGAAAGAAACCTTTCTTACTGTAGATGCATCAACACACCAAAATTAAAGTCCACACCTCCTTTATTTTACAAATTATCATGCTCACAACGTATACGGACAGACAGAGGGTATTTCCAATTCCCCTCTTTTCTCTGTGAGGTGGGACAATAACTGTGATGCAAAAGGAGAAGGTGTAATTATTTTTAAAAATGTATTTGCATGATCTGTTGTGATGCTGTTTTAGGTTTGAGTTGTTTTAGGAAAAGCACTTTGTTCCTGGTCTGACTCGTCTGTCCAGTCCAAAAAACATCTCTGTTTCTATCTACAGCGAGTAAGCTATTTACTGCTCACAACCTCTCCATAAATAAGCCTTTCACACGTTACATGTTTCCCCCTTGAGTAAACTAAAACTGAACAATCTGTCTTGGATCGTTCTGATGACTTGTCACAACCAGAAGGTGGTCAGACAACCAATGAAGAACAAATCCCTGAACTTTAGGAGTAAACAGAAATTGTTTGATTGAGTAGGTTTATGTTTACAGGATGATGTGCCAGATTCACTGCTGACAGAAGCTGACAACTTTAGAATTCACTGAAACAGACGTTAACATGAGCACAGTACCTCTTTGATCACCAGATTGTTGACAGCGTAGATGATGGCGCTGCCCAAAGCAGAAGAAGAATCCATGTAGGTCACACCTGCCAGCGAGTCTGAGATCACCGTGAGGTTGTGAGTGAGCGGGAACTCCACCTTTTGTTCTGTGGGGCTGCCGTACTGCAGCAGAGCCACGCGGGCATTCCTCTCGTCCGTCGGGCCGTTGGCCAGGACGAGGTGGCGAGCCACGTTCTCAATGAACTCTTTGGCCCTGCGGTGGTTCTCCAGGCCCATTCTCTCCGAGCCGTCCAACATGAAGATCAGATCTACGGGCCTCTGGACACAACTGGCCACAGCAGGCTCTAAAACAGACACAAGCGTAGTGTTCAGTGAGCAACAGCTGGAGGGCAGATGTTGGAGCATCAAAGACAGGAAAAGAATGTAGAACATGCCAAATAACTCAACATGCTAGCAGCGGTCAAGCTGTTTTAATTTACTCTCAAGGTTTCCAGATCAGCACGGGCCTCATCAACACATGAATATTTATTCTTTACAAACCATAAACTTTAACACGTTCCATTTTATACAAAACAAACTGGATCACATCATGAAGTTACAGTCAGAGAGTTGATGAAATACAGTTGATTAAGGCTATATTGTGGTCTTTTCTCTGTAGTCATCATACTTTACGAGCCAAGCCACATGCTGAAAAAATTTAACATGCACCAGCCAAGAAAAAAAAACATATATTTCTTTCATCTTCTCCAAACAGGTACATAAACAAACTTATGGCACATATACAGAATGCATGTTGTCATATAACCAGATATTTTCCACGTTTGATAGCTTTTAATCAACATAAACTGTGCATAAAGAGGAAAAGTAAATGTCGTTACCATAGATATGTGCAAACATCCCCCCCCCAAAAAAAAACCAACAAAAAACTGAGTGATTCAGCAAGCTTGTGATTCACATTGGAAATGAGGCTTCATCACAGAGGAACATGAATGGCTCTACAGTAACTCTGCCTGCAACAAATGAATGACAGCCATTTTCCATCTGAGCAGAAGCCGGCCCTCCAATAGGATGGAAGAAATGATGTTTGTTACTGACACGTCTCCCTGGGTTACACCGCCGTGTGTTCACAAAGGTTCAGTATGCACAGAGAACAGGCCAAATTTAGACTTTTAGTCTGTCACATTTGTTTTAAACTCAAGGCTGTTTCCAAGGTCTAGTGAGATCAAGCTTCGAGTCGTGCGTTTGCTTTCCATGAGGCTACGTGTGTATTGCACCTTCAGATTAATATAAATTAAAACTGCAGACATGTTTAATTTCCAGCAGCAAGCTTATTAGTCATAGTTGCGAGGTAGCATGGTTAGGGTGTTAGCACTAGCACAGCCCAAGAGCTTTCTCCGGGTCTCCCATAATGTCTCCATAGACGTATTTGAAGGAGTCGATGAACAGCTTGGTCCACTGATCCCTGTCTGCTCCGTCCGTGAGTTTGGCTCTCTGGGCGGTGTACGCCATGGTTGCTATGCCAACCCCGTACTGCTGTTCGCTCAGGCCGCTCAGTAGGCTGGTCACACCCTCCAAAGAGGTGGGAACCAATGAGGGGCTGCCTTCTTCAGCCAGTGGCTTCCAGGGGGGTGGGGCTTCCCCTTTAGAGTTGCCCCCTCCTGCAACAAGTGGGCGGAACAACACTGTGGGCGGAGTCCCACTAATGCATCAACACAGCCAATCATGATGTCGGAGGCACACTGATTTGTTCTGCAGTTTGTTTTTAAATAACTCACAACCTCGTGATTTAATCACACCAGAACAACGACAGCTAACAGTTGAAAAAACAAACAGGGTAAACCACAATTTTTCTAAAACTATGAACGTAATTTAAAGCTGCCAGTATGCTTCAAAGGAACTACTCTGAGGCAAAATGTTGCAGAACAAAGACAGAACCCAGGACAATGATGTACTGGTTAATGTAGACGGGTGGGAGTTAAAATATGAACGGCTGGTCCCTTTCTGACTTCCACTTCCAGGTTCCCAGAGGATGTTTATGAATTATTACCAGTCTATGGTTTACACACAGAAAATGTTAATGTGTAGCCCTTTAGCCTGTTAAACTATGTTTTTTAATAGGGATGCACAATATTATCGGCATGGTATCAATATCGGTCCATATTAGCAATAAAGTTAAATATCGAACATCAGCCATTCCATCAAAATAACTCACCGATATAAAAGGCGCTTTTTGTAATGTGTTATATATTTATATAGTGTTACATCATTTTCAGCCCCCTTTTTGGCATCTACATTTGGTAGCAGGCCAAATTGACAAAGACCATGCAGAATAATGAAGTATTTTAATTCCATAGCAGAAAAAACTATCTCTGTAAGTAGGTCTAAGGAAAAAAAAATCGGTATTGATATTGGTTATCGGCCAAAAATCCAATATCGTGCATCCCTAGTTTTTAACCAGGTAAGAAATTGTATAAAATTTAATGTCCTAGAAATTAATTTAATATTTGACCCTACTCAAGGCTGGGTATGGGCACAGTGACCCCTGCAACCCAAACAGGAGGAAACGGGTAAAGATAATGGATGAATGGATGGATGGATGGATGAATGGATGGATGTACCCTGCTTAAATTTTACTGCAGCATTTAAGAAGCACTTCATTTGAAGCTTACTGATCTTTTACTGAGTCTAATTATTAAAATAACATTCAACCTGAGAGGAGAAGAGATCATTTGATTCTACTTTTAAGTCTTACCTGATTTACAGGGCAGGTCGGGGCATACAATGACAGGCTCTGTAAAAGACAGAGAACGATAAACAGTAAATAGATCTTCTCTTTTCTTCCACTTGAACACGTTGTTCATTCATTTTATTTCCGTCGTGCAAGTTTACCAGGGCAGAGCACGGTTTCAATCCTGTCGATGAACTCTTCGGCCACGAGATCTGCAAATCGCCTCATTCCCATCACTCTGCCGTCCCTCTGACAGGCGATGCTCTGCAGACTCTCACTTTCCTCAAACTGCTCAAACATGTCTCCAATACCAATGGCACTCACGTCAACACTGGGATCACTGTTCACACGCACCGCAAGAGAAAAACACCAGCTCTGAGACGAGTTTCTTTTGTCCCACGTTCTTGCACAAACTCTCCGAACACATACTTGCACAGGTAGGTAAGGAGGGTGTCGTCATCTCTTGGGTCGAAACGTCCGTCGGTGATGACGACAACAGTGACGTTTGCTTTGGCCCGGCGGCTGTCCCTGATCAGGTTGTCGTAGGCGTATTTAAGAGCAGATGGAGTCCATGTTCCCCCCGCGATCCACTCTAGTCTCTTTACAGCTTCCTGAACAGAAAATATGAAAAGAATGAAAATGAAAAAAATATGAACAAAACATGGTGTTAAACAAAAGGAGGGTGCTTGTGGTGTTTCTGTAAAAATACTCTTACAATGCAGTTTTAATGTTTGTGACAGAGGTAAACTATCTAAAGGAAAATGCCACAGCTTGCACAGACTGTGAAAAAGTTAAATTTTATAGATGCAGACTTAAGACTGAAAGCTAAAGAGAGCAAGCAGACTTTATTGCTGTTGTAGTTTTCCTCCTAAAATAAACAAGATAGCGTTGCTAGCCTGTTAGCAAAGTTCTGGCAAAGTTGCCCATCGTTGAGGGATTTGAATAGTGAATGTTTGTAGTTGGGTGGCTCAGTTGGTAGAGCTGCTGCCTCCCAGTGAGAAATTGGTTCAAAGTCCCGGTTCAAATCCCAGCCCGGGACCTTTCTATATGTAGTTTGGGTGTCGCATGTTCTCTCATGGGTTTTCTCCAGTTTCCTCCCACAGACCAAAAACATGCATGTTAGGCTGATTGGTAACTCTAAATGGTCCCTAGGTAAGAGTGTGTGGTTGTTTGTCTCGTTTGTCTCTATGTGATGGACTGGAGACCTGTCCAGGGTGTCCTCCGCCTCTCACACAGTGACTGTTGGACATGGGCACCAGTGACTCCCGCGCGCGACCCGAAAAGGAAGAAGCGGGTAAAGATAATAAATGGATGTTTGTCGTTTTTTGAGGTATGTCCTCTTTTTTTTGTTTGTTTGAGGCAGCGTAGAGTGACAGTTCCTGGAAAGTCCATCCATCCATTTATTATCTTTACCCGCTTATTCCATTTTGGGTCACGGGGGTCGCTGGTGCCCATGTCCAGCAATCACTGTGCGAGGGGCGGGGTACACCCTGGACGGGTCGCAAGTCCATCACAGGGCCACATAGAGACAAACGAGACAAACAACCATTCACTCTCTCACTCACACCTAGGGACAATTTAGAGTTACCAATCAGCCTAACATGCATGTTTTTGGTCTGTGGGAGGAAACCGGAGTACCCGGAGAAAACATGCAAAGTCCACCCAGAAGGCCCCTGGACCGGGGTTTGAACCAAGGACCTGCTCGCTGAGAGGCAGCAGCTCTACCAATTGCGCCACCGTGCTGCTTCCTGGAAAGTGGCAGAAGATATTTTATACACCACCAGTTGAACAGAGGAGCCAGGTGGTGGCCAATGGTGGCTTTTGCCCCCATAGATTTATTTTTGGCCAGCCCAATAATTTGAGGAAACTATACATTTAAGCGATACAAAAACTAGAAAACAAAGTTTCCACAAGCGATGTGGTGGTCGGTTTACATCTGGAGGTGGCCATCTTAGATTTTGACGTGGCAATCCACTTTTTAAAAGGAACCTTTCCTATCCCGAGACGTAACCACACACTCAAATGGATGCCGTGCTTCATTTATTTTTCAAATTATGCTCACAACATGCACGGATGGACAGATGAAGGGTATTTCCAAATGACACAAAGACCTAGCTCACAGAAAAGCCTAAACTCTGTTGCATATTTTAGCGTCAGGCCTCAACGCAGAGCTCGTTCATGACAAACACATGAATTGTTTCAACGGACCACAAATATGTACTTTATCTGCAAAGTCTAGATTTTAAGCTTGTTTTAAAAACTTGCAACATAAAAGTTTAACATGCTTCCAATATAAGCAAAGGGTTCATTTGTTGGAGACCATTTCATCTATATTTTGCATTAAGTTATAATAATATAATCTACATCTGTGGCAAAACAAACGTTCATAGGGGAAAAAGTCAATAAATCCAAAGCTCTTATAAAATGTTTATTTCTGTGCTGATTGTTTAATCTGAACAGATTACATCCTTATGATTTTATGCACCGGCAGTGAAACTTGTTCACTGTGCATCTGGTGTCTTCCTTCATGTGCACAGACACCCGGTCAGCTTGTAATAATTAAGAAACATGTGGCCGGAGAGACAAAAGAACTGTCTGTACCGTACACTAAAAATAACTTCAGTGTTGTGTACGTCTGTGTTTCTGTGTCTGTGTTGGAGAAACCTTGAAAGCAGTCAGTGAGTCAATCTGGGGGTCATTGAGCCGGATGGCCTGGAAGGTCCCGCTGTGGCTGTACTGCACCACACCCACTCGAGTGCCTGGAGAAACAAGCAGGTCCTCAAGCTGGCAGCCATCTTTAAAATGTAGCTTTGCACGTTGACAAACCTGTCTCTGACTGGGGGTCTCTGGCAAAAGATCCCAGCCTGTTGATGGTGTTGATGACGAAGTTCTTCTCGAGGGTGAAGTTGGTGAGGCCCACGGACTCGGAGCTGTCGATGACAAAGACGATGTCCAGGGCTCCACAGCGTTTCTCACAGTCTGGGCATTAAAACACATAAGAAGTTTGATTTTGATAAGAAAAGTTTGTAAATGATTGTGCAGTGGGAACCTGACTCACCGCAGCAGCCACAGGTCTCCCTGATGTAGTTCATAACGTCGCACTCCTGCAGTCAAAGATAAAAACATTTGGTTTTGTTCATAAAATCCTCTGCGTGCCTCAGAAAATGTCACATTTCTCTGTCTCTGTTTCCTGTGATTAAATAAAATGTCCTCACGGTGAGACCAGGATCTCCCTCTGGACCTGGATCTCCCTGCAGAGAAGGAGAATAAAGTTAGATTCTGCCACTCTGTGTTCTGTGCATCACCACAGTCAAATAAAGCTTTTTGATGGTTTTTATAGACGTACGTCACGACCCGGATCTCCCCTTGGCCCTCTTAGTCCAGGCTCTCCCTGGGGCCCTGGTTCACCCTGTTAAAAGTAAAATAAACAACTCATTTGATACTTTAAGACTGGCGATCAGTTCAACTTCACACCAGAGATGACTTACCGGCTCTCCTGGAGTTCCTTTATTTCCAGGATCTCCCTTTTGGCCACAGTCTCCTCTGCTTCCACGAGCTCCTCGGCTGCCTTTTTCTCCTTTATCACCCTGAAGACGAGCGAGGAAGACCTGTCAGCTAAACGTATCACGAGTTAAACAATAAAATCAAGTTATGGACATACCGTTGCTCCTCTGGGTCCAGGATAACTAAAGCCAGGTCTTCCCGTGTCCCCCTGAACAGATAATACAGAGATATTACAGAGATGCATGAAGACCTGCAGCTCCAGACCTGAAACAGGCTGAGGACGATGAGATCACAAACACAAAGGTACTGACTTTAGGTCCGGGCACTCCGGGCTCGCCTCTTGGTCCAGCATCCCCAGGGTCACCTCTTGAACCCTAAAGTTCAAACAACATTGAAGCAACAGCTGTCTTTAAGGGCCTTCATTTAACTGTACGTTTCAACATTAACCTACATTTCTCCCAGGCTCCCCTGATGCTCCTGGTGGTCCTCTGGGTCCTGGTAGGCCAGCGTCTCCCTGTTTAGGTTTTGAAGAAGTTGTAATAAAAGCAAGTTACTGAGCATAAATTAAGGTTAGCGTTAGAAGTTATTGTATATGAAGTTATTATTTTCTGGACGAGATACTAGCTACTGAAATAAAATGGTTTCTACCTTTGGTCCTTTTTTCCCCTGTTCACCCAGCAGGCCTCTCTGGCCCTCTGGTCCTGATTCACCCTGAAACAGAATTACATGGGTCTTCAGCCTCCACATGTCTTACTGCTGAAGATCAAGTAGACTAAAATAATTTGAGCTAATGCAACAATAAAAGTAAGAGTCACTTTTGTACCACTGACTAGCTGAACTCGTACCTTTTCTCCAATATCACCAGTGGGCCCTTGTGCTCCTTTTGACCCGGGGTCTCCTCTTCGTCCCTAAAGGTCCACAGTTTTTGAGGCCATCAGGCAGCGTAAAGACAGAACAGGTGGAAAAACACCTGATACGAGGTAAGTTAGGTATTCTTACCTCCTCGCCTCTCTTTCCTGCGAGTCCAGGCTGGCCCTAACAAAGAAAACAAACAGATCAAGGATTCAGTGCAGGACAAAGAGTTTCATGAGCCTTCATGGATTTAGTTGTCCGAAGCGTCTTACTGGATTTCCCTTTTCTCCAGGAAGGCCAGGTGATCCAGGACTTCCACTCTCTCCCTGCAGATGAAACAGTTTAGTGCTTGACCTCCAATATTCTAGTCTGTTGGTCTCAGCAGGTGACACATGTCTCTGTCTCTCTTATCTGTTTTACCTTTGGTCCAGCCAGTCCAGGTGATCCAGGTGAACCGGGTCTTCCAGGACGTCCAGGATCACCCTGGAGAAAACGAAGCGGTGCTTAGCCATGGGCTGAATAGATAAGAGAATTGGGTTTAATCAGTAAAAAATTAAGGGATTGTGTACCTTCTCTCCATCAGTCCCAGCGGGACCACGTTCACCAACATCTCCAGGGTGACCATCAGGACCCTGAAAACCATTTACCACAGATTATCAGTAATCCCCAATGCAGTGCATCTGAGATGATCAAATCAGCAAGTTCTTACTCTGTCGCCTGGGTCTCCTTTGCAGCCTGGAGCACCAATTCGACCGATTTTACCCTGAAAGTACAATAAAATAAAATATTCATACAAAGAATACTGAAGGTCATGTGCAGAACAAAGACTCATCCCCAAACTTTACCTTCTGCCCATTTGTTCCATCACGCCCTGGAATGCCAGCCACACCCTAATAACAACAAATGAGGACAGTTAGACACCAAGTGTTGCCTAATGTGAATAAACAAGAGTTTATGAGGATAAACACCAACCTTTTTCCCTTGAGTTCCTATTTCTCCCTGTGTTTGGACAGAAAATCAGGTATTTAATGATCACCTGCACTTTTGACCAGTCTCAAATCACCGACTTACAAACTCAAAGCTTAATGTTTAAGAAGGTATTTGTATCAACACAAAATCAAGCTGAGGCCTCACCTTCTCGCCCTTATGACCTGATTCACCCTATAGAAAGAACAAAGCAAATATGAAGTCGTAGCCTCAAACAAAGCTGGTTTCTGTCAGTGGATCAGAGAAAGCCACTTACTTTGATACCAGGCTGACCAATGGGACCTTCAATACCAGGGTCTCCAGGACGACCCCTTTCTCCTTTTAGTCCTGCTCCACCGTTGTCTCCTTTAGCTCCCTGCAGCCAGAGGAGAAAACAGCAATGAAGGTCAACACTGTGTGTGATGAAGATGCTTTAGATGTTGTGCGCAAAACTCACTTTCTGTCCTCTGTGGCCTTTTGGACCAGGAAGCCCTTCAGTCTCCAGGCAGGACACTTTGTAACACTAGTTTTGTTGAAGAGAAACAGTGATAGGTGATAGGTTTGATAGGTTATCTGATCTGACTCAGACATTTATGATTTCTCCAGATTATAGCTCTGATAGGAGTCCAGCCTCACCTCTGTATAAGCCAGATGTTTCTGTAAAAACAAAAGAAGCAAAGCATGAGCAGACAGACTATCTTCTGCATTTTCTCACTGAGTGTGTGTGTTTGTGTGCTACCATTATTTTGATGATGCGGTCCATGGTCTCAGTGTGTATTATAGGTCGGTTCTGGCTCAGATTTACGGCCATGTACTCATCCCTGAAGACTGAAGCTGGAGAGTTGGCGATCTCCCTCAGCCCGGTCTCTTCGACGTTTGTCGACGCCGCCACGACAAATATCCGGATGCCCTTGTCGCGAGCCTCCTCTGCTGACACCTTAATGCCGCCGCAGGGCTTTCCGGTCACATGGCCATCAGTGATGACCACGGCGAAGCGGAGGGCTGAGGGGTCTGACGGTGCTCGCAGCATCTCCCTGGTCATGGCTTTGAGGGCGCAGTCGATGTAGGTGCCCTTTCCCAGATACTTGATGTTTCTAAGACGCTGGAAGAACGAACAGGTTGTTACTTCTTTACCTTCTTAATTTAAATCTGTAAAAGTATTGCAGCGATAAAATACTTTAGTGGAATTTTTTTCTTCAGAATTGATGCAACCAATATGTGACGTTGTAGGACCTACTGTAGCTATAAAGTGACAAGCACCTGAAAAAATGGTTGAAAAACTGCCAGACAAATTGACGTCATTTCCTTAAATGATTAGCTAAAATTGAATAGTTTTCATTTGATACTATTTCTATCTTAATGTGATTCTTGACCTGCCATTGTTTATCTGTTCCTACCAAACCCAGCTGGTCGAAGCAGATGGTCGCTTGTCCTGAGTCTGGTTCTGTTAATGGTTTCTTCCTCATGAGGGAGTTTTTCCTTTCCACTGTCGCCTTCAGGCTTGTTCAAGATGAGCGTTCTGTGATGGAGTTAAACTCAAAGCAGTCTGCTCCTCAGATAAACAATGTTAAATTATATTTTATATTTGAATGTTACTGTTCAGTGCCCTGAGATGACTTCTGTTGTGGCTTAGCTTTATATAAATAAACTGCACTGAATTGAATTAAATTGAAATTGAAAATTCATTGAATGGGGCAATACATGTAAAAGTTCTGTGCAGCCACTACTCACGCTCCAAATAAGAGCTGTTCGAATAATTCACAAAGTTGTGTTTTCAATTTTTTTCAATCAAAAAAATGTAAAATTCTATAAGAATGTAAAATATAAAACAAGCACAACTTATTTGCATCAGCGTGACTGGAGTCAAAATATCGAACAGACTGAAAGTTTAAATAAAACAATGTCTAAACATCAACCAGTTTAAAAACAAATACAAAACCATGACATTTACAAGGTAAAGAGAGGAAGGGGATTAATACCAATGTGAATGCAATTGGTTTATGATTTTTAGTATGGTTCAGAACTTTTAATTTCTTCTTTCAGCTTTTCCCTGTTCAGGGGTCTCCACAGCGAGTCATCCTCCTCCACCTCACTCTGTCCTCTGCATCCTCTGTCCTCACTCCAACTACTTCCATGTCCTCTCTAACTGCATCCAAATATCTTCTCTTTGTCTTTTTCCTGGCAGCTGCATTTATAACATCCTTCTACCAATATACCCACGGTCCCTCCTCTGGACATGTCCAAACCATCTCAATCTGTCCTCTCTAACTTTCTCTCCCAGTTGTTCAACCTGTGCTGTACCTTTGATGATCTCATTCCTAATCTTATCCATCCTTGTCACTCCTAAGGAGAACCTCAACATCTTCATTACTGCCACTTCCAGTTCTGTCTCCTGTCTTTTTGCCCATGTCTCCAGACCATACAACATGGCTGGTCTCACCACCATCTTGTAAACTTTATCTTTGCAATTTGCTGACACCCCTTTGTTGCAAATCTCTCCTGAAACTTTTCTCCATCCGCTCCATCCTGCCTGGACTCTCTTTTTCACCTCTTTACCCTTTCTTTACTCTTTCAGGACAGTGGATCCCAAGTACTTGAAGCCTTCATGTTTCTGACCCTCTCTGTACTTCTCCATCAGCATCCTCACAGCAAACATGGCTTCTGTGGTGCTCTTTCTTGGCATGAAACCATACTGCTGCTCACAAATAGTCACCTCTCATCTGTCTAGCTTCCACAACTCTCTCCTAGATCATCATTGTGTGACTCATCAAATTAATTTCTCTGTAGTTGCTACAACTCTGTACATCACCCTTGTTCTTAAAAATGGGCACCAGCACACTTCTTCTCAGGGGCTCAGAGCCGATCCTTGATGCAATCCCACCTCCAACTTGAAGCTATCTGTCACTCCTACAGCCCATCTCACCACTGTCCTGCTGTCCTCATACATGTCCTGTACCAGTCTAACATACATTTCTGCCACTCCAGATTTCCTCATGCAATACCACACCTCCTCTCTTGGCACGCTGTCATATGCTTTTTCTAAATCCACAAAGACACAATGGAGTTCTTTCTGACCCTCTCTGTACTTCTCCATCAGCATCCACAAAGCAAACATGGCTTCTGTGGTTCTCTTTCTTGGCATGAAACCATACTGCTGCTCACAGTCACCTCTCGTCTAAGTCTTGCTACCACAACTCTCTCCCAGATCTTCATCATGTGGCTCATTAACTTAATTCCCATGTAGTTGCTACAACTCTGTACATCACCCTTGTTCTTATAAATGGGCACCAGAACACTTCTTCTCCATTCCTGAGGCATTTTCTCACTCTCAAATATGCCATTGAATATTTGAGTCAAAAACCTCACTGCCATCTCTCCAAGACATTTCCAAACCTCCACTGGTATGTCATCAGGTCCTACTGGCTTCCCTTTCTTCATTCTTTTCAGAGCTTTCCGGACTTCACCCTCACTAATCTTTCCCACTTCCTGGTCCACAGTTTCTATGACCTCTCCTTTCTCTTTCATGTTCTTTATTCATTAGCTCCTCAAAATACTCCTTTCAGCTTCCCGTCACACTCTCCTCACTTGTTAGAACATTACCATTCCTACCTTTAACAAGCCTAACCTGCTGCACATCCTTTCCAGCCTGATCCCTCTGTCTTGCCAATCGGTACAAGTCCTTCTCGCCCTCTTTAGTGTCCAGCCTCCCATACAACTCATCGTACGCCTTCTGCTTTGCCTTAGCTACCTCCTTGCTCTATGCCCCATTTCCTTATATTCCTGTCTCCTCTCTTCAGTCCTCTCACTGTCATATTTCTTCTTGGCTGATCTTTTTCTTTGAACGGTATCTTGCACTCCACTACTGTATTACACCAGCAGTTTAACTATATTAATTATATAAAGGTTTTTAATTTATTTTCTTTCGGCTGCTCCCTTCTTCAGGGGTCACCACAGCAAACTAACTCACACAAAGACTTGATGATTGTTTTTACACCAGATGCCCTCCCACACAACCGCAGACCACAGAGAAACCACATCCCTCTGTGTGGAGCAGAGAGCTGCTATCTAGGGGTGTCAACTCTGACGCAGTTCCCAATTTATCAGACAACTATGATATAGATGCCATCTGCATCTGCAATTATTTTTAGTACTACTACTAATTTTTATTATTAATGTATTGTGTCAGCAAGTTCTACTGACTGTATGTATAGGAATGTGTGACAGCACGTGTATGTTTAAATCAAATGTGTAATTCTACATTTATATATGCTTATGGGCTTGTGAATACTTTTTTTTATATACTAACATACCGTATTCCTTGCATAGAAATGTATTATTATATGAATACAAAACAAGATATTAATAATATATTATTGAAAAATATTTTGTGTAAGAAATATATTAATTAAAGATGAGGGGTAGGATTAAAATATTTTATACTTCATTCTTCTCTTTTTTGAACAGGTACAGGACTGGTATAGGAATCAGTCTACACTCTCCTCCTAAATGTGTTTGTCTGCAGCAGAAAGGACTGTGTGTGTGTGTGTTTGTGTTTGTGTGTGTGTGTGTGTGTGTGTGTGTGTGTGTGTGTGTTTGTGATCCTCACATTGGTGAAATCATTCTTGGGTCCGATGGAGCTGATGATCTCCTGGGTCTGGGAGAAGTGCAGCCCACCAACGTTCCAGTTGATTCGTACAACATCTTTGAGTTCTTCATCAGTCAAACGCGTCACAAACGCCTCAGTGAATTGCTACAGAAAGAAGATACAAGACATGACACTCCACACACAATACATCCAGACCTGTCAGCAGAACTTTACAAAAGACTAACATTCTTTGTTTGAAGTTATGGACCATTTTTATTTTGCTGTTTCGTTGTTATGCTGTTCATATTGAGCTGTCAGTAAATACTCTGAAAAATTAACATTCACTCACTTTGGTGGAGAAAATATTACAAATACTTGCATAAGGTTAGAAAGTAATTGTCTGTCCCTCCTGCCATGTTTCTGGTCTGCTCCTGTCATCCAGCCATGCCCACTCTGCTCATGCACCTCAATCAACGATCATGCCTTTCACCTGTTTCCTGCCCTACTTAAGCTCCAAGCTCTTGTTCCTTCCTTACCAGATTATCAAACTCTTCTTGATAGATGTCCAGCACTCACGTCATAGTCCCGTTTACCTGCCTTGTCTCAACCTCATGCCTGCCTTTTGAATTCCCCGCTTTGCCTGCTCCTTGTCTGCAATGGATTAACCTCTCTGACCACGGTATCGACTCTCCTTGCTTCTACTATGACTGCGTCTCACGGATTTCATTTTGGCTTTGGGTTTGGATCTCTGACTTCCTGTGCTCGACCCCTGCTTATACCCACAGAACCCCCGTTTGGATGCCCCTTCAAACAACGTTCTGCTCAGCCCTGCTTCTCTGCTGCTGTTCACTCACCGTCGGTGACGTCACCGTCTTCTTCTCCCTGAAGGAGACCCTCCCTCACCTGACTGTGAAGGTTAGTGACTGCCTCTGTACTCCTCTGAACCTTCACAGTAAAACCCAGATAACTAATCCCTCTGTCTCTACAGATTGGACCAGTTCTTGGACCCTGACCTCCACCAGCAGCTGTTTATCAATACAATTTTTAAACCATTCCTGTTGTCAGGTGTCATGCTCAAATTCTAAAACACATTCTTGTCAGTAACAGGTATTAAGGGTGATTGTAGGTACTAAAACTTATGGTTAGAGTTAGAAGTCAAATCTAACCATAGTAGTGGTAGTAGTAGTAGTAATAATAGTAGTAGTAGTAATAATAGTAACAGTAGCAGTGTTAGTAGTAGTAATAGTAACAGTAGATGTGGTGGTAGTAGAAGTAATAAATGGACTGTACTTATACAGCACCTTTCTATCTTATTTCAAAATACTCAAAGCACTTTACACTACAATCTGTGTCCTCATTTACCCATTCATACAGAACTCTACTAGATCTCTACGAAGCTAATTGAACAAATCATTCTAAAGAAACTAATCAGTACTTTTTAGATCACATTCATACACTGATGGGACACATGTCGGAGGCAACGAGGGGTTCAGTGTCTTGCCCAGGGACACTATGGCATGTGACTGCTGGTGGATTTGAACCCCCAACTCTTGCATTGGACTACGATTGCTCTAACCACTCAGCCACAGTCGCCCTAGTAGTAGTGGTATTATTATTTGTAGTAGCAGTAGAGGTAGTAGTACTAGCATTATTAGTAGTAGTATCTCACAAACTAACAGTGGCAGATGTGATTTAAACTTTGGTTGAAATGTTCAAATGTTGCTAACAGGCCAGGTAAACAAGGACATCAAGGTAAGTGTTGGACTGGCCATTCCCCCATTTTTGGTTTGACATTGTCTGCAAGACCTGAGCAGAACACCATGTTGTCTGTCATCTCTTCTTCACCTCATCAGTTACAGTACCAGATGAAGGGAATATATCGTCATTCCAAAATCTTCTACTTTTAGACGTAACTCATTTTGCGGATGCACTTTGTCACGTTTAAACATTTTTTTTTACTAACATACTACTTTTTATAAGACATACTTCTTTAGTGTATACAATTTTATCCTTTTTGTTTCATTTTTTTAATGCATGGTTCATAAACATATTTATAAGTCGGGAACACTCAAGAAGGCCTCGAGTGTTTCTCATTGGTCAGGACTTCACTGCCAGGAGAGAAGGCTGAGCTCAGTCAGTCTCTCCAGGAGGAGTTTGTTTAAAAACTGACAGGAACATTAACCAATCACGACATAGAGTGGGTGGAGCCAAAACCCACTTCCACTTTTAATTTTTAATTAAAATTAATTTATGAAAATGTTTACAAGCCCTCAAAGATAGTGCTTCACAGTTTATAGTGAGTTCCAGAGCCCACCTTGAGAGCTGTAGTTTTAAAACATTTAGTCAAAATAAATAAAATAAAATGCAACGTTTTACCTTCATGAAACACATAAATAGTTACATATTTAACAAGGAAACAAGTAACTTCTCTTTAACTAGCTTTCTGAAGTGACCCTACAATCACTGTGGAGCAGTGAGTTTTTGTCTCGTTTATTCACTCATTACATATAATACAGAAACTACAGTAATACGCTGAATCTGACCATCTTTGCTGTGCAACACCTTTATTAAACTGTAAATAAAAGAAGAACCTTGATGCTATCCACCAGCGACCCAGGAGGCGACTCCTGTAGGGCGATGGTTTCTGATGTGTCGATGGTGAAGTACAGGTCGATGGGACATTCTCTCTTCTCTGAAAGAAACACACACCAACCAACATGGTTCAGGGTTGTGAGACAAATGAAGGCAGTATTGTCGTTGACGTTGTGACACTCACTGCTGCACTCTGCTTTCTGGGCATGAGTCAGGGCTCCAAACAGAAGGCAGAGCACGACGACCTCCAGCCCCATCATCTTCTTCTTCTACTGTCGGCCACAAACAGGACACACATGAACTAATGATGTCCTCTTGTTCTTTTACAATACCTGTGCTGGTAGCTCATATAGAGGTTAAAACCAAAAGGGCAAATACTTTATGGCTTAAGCATGAGAACGATGTGTTTAAACCACCAAAATAAAAGCATTTTAAACTACTACAGGACGTATTTCAACCTGTTATCGTTGTTTTATACAGCATTTGTTTGTTTTCAGTGAAATGATCAAGATTAAATTCTGTTTCAAATTAAATGTCCAACAACCAATGTCTTATTGGTCAACATGGTTGCCACACACTTACAGTATATTAATGTTTTAAAGAGTCACAAGAACACGACTCATTGTCCTGTTGGAATCTAGAAAATGAATTGAAATAACAAATACCAAACTTCAAACTAAACAAAGTTACTGGACTCCCATAATGTAACAAAGTTAAGTCGGGTCCTCTGGAAGAATTCAGACCTACCTCACTCTGTACCTATAATGTTTTTTACAGAAGGAACACGTCTGTAGTTATTTGATACTGACACAAGAATAAAGCAGACCAACCTGCATCTGGCAGCAGAGAGGGATGTCATAAACAGAAATGATTAAAGTAGGTGATAAAAACATGGTTTTAAAAATGTGTTGGATTTGCTTTTTCTTTATTCTGTGTATCATCCATGATAACATTTAAAAAAAGTAACAAGAGTTCTGCATACAGCATATTATACACTCGTCAAACAATTATACAGCAATCTGTAGCTAGCTGTAGACCTTGTATAACCTTTGACCTTGATTTGTGACCTTGACCTTAGAGCTGGGTGATAAAAAGGTTACGTGACATGCTGGTGGAACAAATGTGCATCATGTTTTGTTAAATTATCTTAAGTGGTTTAGATGTTATGGTCTGGAAAAGCAAAGACATCGTTTTAACTTTGACCTTGATTTGTGACCTTGAGGCTTGGGCGATGAAAAGTGTTGAAGACACTCTGTCTAGTCAGCTTTTGTTTCCAACAATTACGAGTCGTTTGTTTACGTTTACGCAGTGGTGGGCACAGTTCTGCTAACACAATTCACGAGCTGGTTTCTGTTCGTTGTGGGCGTGTCTCAAAGAGTCCGTTAGGCACGCTATTGGTTTACAACGTGCACACGTGACAAGATGAGACGTGATTGATCGTCACAGCTTCAGCTGGAAGGAGATGAAGATGTGTGACACAGGCTAAGTGATATCAGTCGTCCAAGCGGTTAATTCTTTTACCTATTTAGCGTTAGCAAAGTTTTTTTTTTTTTTTAGTTAGCGACATATGGGTTAGCGAAGCTAACTTTTTGTTAGCTGTGCCCACCACTGTGCTTATGCATATTCAAGTATTCTATGGACAGTACCAGGGCATGACGACTAACTGGTTGGTGAATAATTCGAAAACAGAGCTGAGAAATAACAATAGAATCAGAAACAATCAAAATAAAAAATACTGTATGAGTTTCAGTTACATTAACCGCAAAGCAATCATTAAACGATGTTAGACGCATCAAAAGTCAATCGAAAAACAAAACAAAAAAACAGATATTTTGCCATCTTCTTCTTCTTCTTTCAGCTTTTCCCTCTTCACGGTCTCCACAGCGAAGCATCCTCCTCCACCTCACTCTGTCCTCACTCCAACTCCTCCATGTCCTCTCTAACTGCATCCATATATCTCCTCTTTGTCTTTTTCCTGGCAGCTGCATTTCTAACATCCTTCTACCAGTAAACCCACAGTCCCTCTTCTGGACATGTCCAAACCATCTCAGTCTGGTCTCTCTAACATTATCTCCCAGTTGTTTAACCTGTGCTGTACCTCTGATGATCTCATTCCTAATCTTATCCAGCCTTGTCTCTCCTAAGGAGAACCTCAACATCTTCATTACTGCCACTTCCAGTTCTGTCTCCTGTCTTTTTGTCCATGTCTCTGTCTCCAGACTATATAACATAGCTGGTCTCACCAGTGTCTTGTAAACTTTTCCTTTGACATTTGCTGACATCCTTTTGTCACAGATCACTCCTGAAACTTTTCTCCATCCACTCCATCCTGCCTGGACTCTCTTTTTCACTTTTTTACCACATTCCCCATTTTCCTGGACAGTGGACCCCAAGTACTTGAAGTCCTGCACCTTTGTGACCTCTGCTCCTTGTAGTCTCACTGTTCCACCCAACTCCTTCTCATTCACACACATGTACTGTCTTACTACGGCTGACTTTCATTCCTCTTCTTTCAAGTGCATACCTCCACCTCTCCAAGTTCTCTTCCACCTGTTCTCACCACAGATCACAATGTCATCTGCAAACATCATCGTTCATGGGGATTCTTGCCTGACTTCATCTGTTAGTCGGTCCATCACCAGAGCAAACAAGAAGGGGCTCAGAGCCGATCCTTGATGCACTTCCACCTCCACCTTGAAGCTATCTGTCACTCCTACAGCACATCTCACCACTGTCCTGCTGTCCTCATACATGTCCTGCTGTCCTCATACATGTCCTGCTGTCCTCATACATGTCCTGCTGTCCTCATAAATGTCCTGTACCAGTCTAACATACTTTTCTGCCACTCCAGATTTCCTCATGCAATACCACACCTCCTCCCTCAGCACTCTGTCATATGCTTTTTCTAAATCCACAAAGACACAATGGAGTTCTTTCTGACCCTCTCTGTACTTCTCCATCAGCATCCTCAACACAAAGATGGCAACTGTGGTTCTCTTTCTTGTCATGAAATCATACTGCTGCTCACAGATATTCACCTCTCATCTAAGTCTTGCTTCCACAACTCTCTCCCAGATCTTCATTGTGTGACTCATCACCTTCATTCCCCTGTAGTTGCTACAACTCTGTACATCACCCTTGTTCTTAAAAATCGGCACCATCACACTTCTTCTCCATTCCTGAGGCATTTTCTCAGCCTCAAATATGCCATTGAATATTTGAGTCAAAAACCTCACTGCCATCTCTCCAAGACATTTCCAAACCTCCATAGGTATGTCATCAGGTCCTACTGGCTTCCCCTTCTTCATTCTTTTCAGAGCTTTCTGGACTTCACCCTCACTAATCTTTCCCACTTCCTGGCCCACAGTTTCTATGACCTCTACTCTTCTTTCTCTTTCATTCTCTTCATTCATTAGCTCCTCAAATACTCCTTCCATCTTCCCGTCACACTCTCCTCACTTGTTAGAACATTACCATTCCTGTCTTTAACAAGCATAACCTGCTGCACATCACCAGCTATTCTGACTTAAAAGGCTCAGAAGAACTGATTTGATCAGACTTTAGTTTCTTTCATTCAGTGGGAGTGTATCAGACACAGTGAGTCCTCCGTGCTCTGATTTATTGTGTTCACAGAGTGTGATCGGATTAGAAGTGTTTGTCTGTGCAGAATTCACTTTTCAGCTGTGATGCAACAAAATCAGTGGAGTTGTTCATCAGATTAGCATAAACCAGTCTGCATGGTGGAGAAGCCACACTGCTCAAAGGTTCTGGGATTGCAGAAGCTGGTCTGCAGCGGGGGACCCGTACGAAGTGTGGTTGTTGTTCCTGAGTGAACATTTTGTGCTTTAATTCAAGATCTCTGAAATTAAGCAACATTTCCCCCGCTGGGTCACTGAAAGCACATTTGGTCGCTCTATGACATCTTGGTGTAGTGGCTGAACAAACACTTGCAACACTTTTCTCCTACAGCCTCTTCTATGGAGATAAATCAGTCTCAAAAGTGTCACAAAATTTGTATGTGCACAGTAAGATCCACAGAGGGGCCACAAGATTCACAGATGCCCCAGCTTTTCTGCAGCCTTGAACGCAGCATTACGCTTGTGAATCTGTAGCAGTAAGAAAGACTCAAAACAAGTCACATTCACAGGCTGATCCGTGCACAACAGGTGATTTGTGCACATTTATTTGACAATTTGTGTGTGCACAATATTCCTAGTTGTGCAGTTTAAAATGTGCACACTTGAAAAACTGTTTATCTTGCTTGTGGATTTTATAGTACACAAAAAAATCCTGTTGTACGCTTGTGTGACTACTTTTGAAACAAATTGATCTCCATACATGCACAGCTGGAACCACAGGACTGTTACACTGATGGTCGGTGTCCTG